ATGCAAATGTGTAGCATTCAGAGAAGTGAAATAATTCTGTGTTATTATTATCTTTGTAAATTACATCTTAAGAGTTTTTGAGGACTTTATGATGGCAGTTTTCTATAGTCACAGTTCTACAGTATGTGCAGCACAAAGTGTTTTCTTTCACTATTAACAATAACTGAGCCAATGAAAATGCTTTTTAAATATACACTCGGCAAGCAGTTATTTGGCTCTTCTTCTTACTATCCACAAACCATCTTTTATAGTCTTTTAAGACAGCATAAGAAACAGCTTTGTAAACATCTGTTTTTCATTGTTAATTGTCAGGAAAACTGGGGACTTAAATGCTTCTTTGGAATCCTCCTAATTCTATCAAGAATAAGTTGTATATGCTAAATTTTCTTTTTTCAATAATTCCTTTAGGCTTCTTAAAAAATCCTGTCTTTCATTCATTTTATATTATGATATTTTTATAGATATTTGAGGACATTGCTTTGTATTAATTAAAGTTTTTAGTAACTGGTTATATTTTACAGAAAAGATAAATGATATAGAGTTAAATGCATTGTGCATTTTCAAATCATTTTTAGAGTTTTCTTGGGCATATTCCATATTTAAGTATGTAATAATAAAAATATAAGGAAAAGGTATTTGATAGCCAAAGGAAAGATTAAGTTAGAGCTTCAGATCTCCTGACATAATTATTCTTTTAGAAATATGCTTTATTTTCATAGTTTTTTTTCTGTTTCAATAACTGAGCCATTAATGTCAACAGAATATCTCTGGCAATTATATACAAAGAAAACTTTTGTAATAATACAGTGTGACTTCCTTCTAAATGAGAAGGATCTGTTGCAATAACTACTTTAAAAATATTAAAATTTGGTCTAGTTTTTCTGAATTTTTAATGTTAAAGTAAATGTATCTATCTCTTGAGAACAGAAAGAGCATCCATAATTTAATAATTAAGTAATATGTAATAAATAATAATTTTTGTTGCCTATAAATAGACCTAAGTAACAAAAATAAGGAATATTAAGAGGAATTTTTAGTTAAAACTTTTTTTTCAGAATGTACTAATTTAAAAACATTTTACAACCTTTATTAAATTGAGATCTTACTGTGCAATTAGAATGTATTTTCATTTTTTATTGTACTTTATTTCTAAGCTGGAAGAAATTGGGAACTCACTATTCACTATATTTGCTTTTAGTTTTTGCTTTTCAAACTTGTATTGGAGTGCTGTAGAACTAGGCCTTATCACTGCATATAAAACTAATTGAAATGACATATTGTTGCAGTTTCTATGACAACCATATCATGATGCTGATGTTCTTAAAAATTTATAAACTATAATCTGAAATATGCTAATTCTAGTGAACACAGTTAACACTTATTTGCTTAATATTCATTTTAGTACTAAACTTCATCAACTTTGAAAGTAGGTTGATAACATATTGTATACAATTAAAAGAGGTATTTATATTGAGCTCTTGAGTTTAAATATTTTTCTCAGACACCTACTATACTAGGACTTTAAGTGTAAGTAAAGCTTTTCATTTATTATTTTCATAGACATTAATGAACATGAGGTAATTTAAATAACTGAGGTAATTTAAATAGTATATTCCAGATAAAATGAAATAACATTAATGACCATGAGGATGGTCATTGTGGCAAACTCTCAGTATTGCTGTCTTTCTCCCCTCAATTGAAGGATAATATACTCAAATATAATGCAAAAGATCCTGATAAAAACTTCAGAAAGTTGAAAAAGTCTGATGAATTATTTAAATAATAGCAGACATCCAGATACTTGGGAACACTGAATTCTTTTTTAGCTTTCATTTGTTTAATTGATTTTAGAAAGTAAGCATCTCTATTTTATTATATGTACAGTTATAATACATCTTAAGACATAAAACTAAAGCAAGTTATGGAATAATTTTGCATAGCAATTATATTGAGCACTTTGATTTAGGATACAATTTGAGGTTTCTTTTAGAACTGATTTAAAAGTAAAATACATTATTTAGAATTATAACTACAGATTCTCTTAAACAGTTTTTTTTAGGTATATCATTTGATAAGTCAGAAAACTACTTTTAGAAATGTATATAATTTATTGATTAGTAAAATAACGTAATTTAAATAGTATATTCCAGATAAAATGAAATAACATCATGTGGAGTTATCAAATACTGAACATGATATTTCTGCTGGCATTTTAAATAAAATTTAATTTTTAGTATATATGCAATAGTTTAAAAAACTATTTTTATTTATTAAATCATAAAAGCACAAAAGGTAAATCCTTAGTTTACACACTTTTAATTATTTACTTGCATACATTAAACACTGTATATATTTAAGTGTGAATAAAACTTCAATATAATTGTGATATTTAAAAACACATACATCAGAAATCCTGTATTTAGAAATTTTCACAATGGCAATCCATTTTTTTGAGATCATTAGAATTTTACACTTTACAATGTGTTTCTACCATATCATCATACTCTTTATTTGTGGTGATTTATTTCATTATATTTTGCCATTAATATATAATAAAGTGCAACATATAGACTGAATACTGACATGTTCTTAGGATTTTTTTGTTGTTGTTGTTTAAAAATCATGGAATTGGCCTCTCACTGCCCATATGATGTGTGTTCCAGTTTTGTAGCCATTGGATTTCTCTTTAAAGATGTTTCAACCCAAGATTACTGTCTGCTGGTTGTGTTAGACATCAATGTATATTCCTTCCATTTAGGATAAAATAAACTGTCAGCATTATGTAAGGCAGAGCCAAGACTCCTGTGAGTTAAGGCTCCGGAGACATTGTAGAAGTCTAATGTTCTTCCATGAGGTTAGCCCACCCCACTGTGTCTAAGAAATGAGATGATGTGAGGGCTATTACATACTTAAGGTTTTTATAGTGGATTAGAATAGCATTACTTAGCACAGGTGTTTTTATAATTGGGATTCCCTGGGAAAATTCAGTACTGTATTCACTAACACTCAGTTTTCCACATGAGTGAAGGAGTGATCCAATGTTAATTTGCTAGTTGGTGGCATAAAACAGGGGAATGGTGTCTAGCTTAAGGGCCTGTTGCTTCTCTCCTTTGAAAAGACATTTCCTGTTGCCCATTAGCACCATATAGAACTATGGTTCTATTTTTAAAATTTATTTTATTATTTATTTATTTGCTAACCAAAATTCTGAAATGCACCAGTTGGAGTCAGCCAGGACTGATTTGGCTTTCATGTAACCCAAGTAGTGCCCAAGTGTCTTTTCCCTTGAAATAAATAAAGAGAATTCTGCTTTTTTTTTTTTTTGGTAAAACATTATTTAAACAATATCTATGCACTCAAGTAGCAGGGAAAATGATGGAGGCATTGATGGGGCACAGTTCACTGAAGATGGCCTTTGGTGTGGTGTGAACTTGTAGAAGTCTCCAAGTCGTGGAGGCAATGTCCAGGAATAACAAAGAAAAACCACAATTATGTCATTCCAGGATTTAGCTAGGGGGTTCTTAAGCTTGGTATCTTTATAGCATAAGGCAAAATATAGGAAGAATTGTCCACACACACACACACACACACACACACACACACACAAAGGATATAATAAAGGCAGGATGGGAAAAAGGAAAAAAGATATATAGTTTATAACAATTATTATTATTATTATTTTACCAAATCCATTGTTAAACTTTCAAAAGGACAGATTTCCTGAGAAATGGGTGGACTACTGAGCTGAAGTGCCTAGCTCTACCATCAGGCAGCCAGGCTGCCTGAATGTCCCTCTGCTGCCCCCAGTTCTCATCTCAGAGACCTGGACTTGTGACTTTGGGTCTAGCTGCGTCCCTGAATCCCTTTGTCTTCTGGAGAGAAGGGAGAAATGAGCCCCAGGCAATGCAGAGTCTTCTCCGCAGAACTAAGGTCACTTCAGAAGAACGCTAGGACCTTGTCCACGACAGAAGCGGACACTGTGTCTCATCGAAGCTGCCCCTTACCCTCTACCACTGCCCTGGGAGTTAGTGCTTCAAGTTTCCAAAACGCAGCCCCCTCCTTAGAGCTGCAGACTGTTTGACCCGAGCTTTGTACTCTGCTAGGAGAATGTGTTCTTTGCAGGATTCACGGCTGTTGGATTCAGCTAGTTTGTAGTTTCAACCCGTCGCTCTTTTCAGCTTGGGTCCCAGAGAACAGGCCCTGTTTCTGGAGCTCCTTTGCCCGCAGGGCGACCAGCCTTTGCTTCTTTTTCAACCAGTCCCAGGAGGTCGCCAAGGCTCCTGGGCCAGGGTCAGCCTGGTGGGCCTCCAAAGTCCTGAGCTGCGCGCAGTCTTCCGCTCGACCTCAAGGTGGCGACTTAGGCACATAAACAAAGCTCGGCCAAACCGGACGGTTGGCACCCTAGCGGTTCATCCACGTATCCTAGTTTCCCTGCTGCTCTCGGGAGGGCTGAATTGACTGTTAAAGGGAACCTCAGTTTAGATGAGGAGTTCGGCCAGAATATCAAAAGTGTGTGTGTGTGTGTTCGCGCGCGCGGTGTGTGTGTAACACACACACACACACACACACACACACACACGCACGCTCACACGCACACCATGCTCGAGCGCGTAGGCAACGGAAAGTAGCGATGGGGTGGAAACCCTTGACCGAACCCATTTGGGACGCCGAGAGCCTCCCTGTGTCACCTGAGCCCGCAGGCCCAGCGACCCGACGGGCTGTGGCTTCGGGACCGATGTGCAGCCCGAGATGCTTCCATCAGTGAGCAACTGGCAGAGGGACAGAGGTTCTGGTCGCTGTTACCAGCGGTAGATTTGCTAATCTTGTTTTAGTGACACCCACGATTCATGAGTAGAGAGACCTGGAAAATAAAGCCCTTCGCGGTGCTTGTGCCCTTCTCTCGGGTGCATGGTGGCAGATCCGAGTAGTAGAGGTAGTTGGGGGTGGGGAAGAGACACAGACAGCAAAAGAATAAACGTGCGACAGTCATTCAATCTTACCTTTGGGACGAAAGGACAAGGTTCCTAGAACTGAGATTTCCATAGTCGGTCTGCATCCCAGCTGTTTCTCCAGTGGGCGCTTTCCTGCCTAATACCGCCTTCTGACTAACTTGGACAAGGCTCGAGGTGCCCTCCCCCCAGACATTCCCTAAACTCAATCCAGGGCATATCCAGAAGTCGGTACAGTACAGAGCTTCCATTCAATCGTGGGGTTGGGGGGTGGGGGCAATCCCGTTTACAGTTTCTCTTGGAAGAAGTAAATGGGACTTTGGAGGGGTGCATAGGAATGGCATGGGGTGTTGGTGGCAGGGAAGCGCGAGTTCTCTTAGGTCTCCGTGCAGCAGGTAAGGTTCTCAGATTCCAGCTGCCCTCCTGCAAAGCTGCGGTGGCGTGTGAGAGTGGAGGGCGATCCTCCTCTGATTAGAGGGGAGTGGAGGAGGGTGGAGTGGGAGAGAAATGGACCCTGGACAGGCTCCACGGACACACATTGGCTTGGTTGGTGTCTGTACTCGTTCTATGCTGCTGCCTTTGGGAGCTTTTGAGCAAGGTAGTTGCGCCAGGCTTTTCTCCCCTCCTCACCCCTCCCCCATTTCTATAATGTGTTTAAAAAGAAGTGAATAACCTTCTAAAATAAGTTTAAAATCTTTTCCTGACTTTTCATTTGAGATGTCAAAGGATTAAATAAATGAAACTTTATTTGACTGGGGAGTTTACCCGAAGATTCGGCGACATCTCTGGTCTTTGGCCTTATTCTAATTCCATGGTGGTAATTACCCTTCGTTTCTTTAAGTGCAATAGATTTATTGCCTTAGAGACTATGCACAGTTTGATTGAATTATTCATTTTTTTTCTTTGGTGTAGACTGCATCTGGGGACTCTGATGTGACGTGTAGATTTTTTTTTTCAGGAACAAAGGGAATGTGGAAATGAAAGAGAGAGGGAGAGAGAGGCTGGCAGATGTAATGAGACGCGGTGAAGGTGTACGCAGACTGGCACTCCCACTCCTCCCTTCTGCTCTCACTGCAGCCCTGGGTAACTCGAAGGCTAACACAAACAGCTTTTCTCTCGCAGCCTGCCCTCTGTCACTGTAAGTACATCAGCCTTCTCTTATCAGCATGCAGATTCCAGCCACGCATTCCCCTAGCCACCGCTTTGCACCTTAGATAGCCGAAGCACATTTGAAAATTAACTTCCCTAAGCTAGGAAAGGCATGTCTGTAAAACTTATTTTTGATTTTTCCTGGAAAAAAAAGTTTATGCATTTTTGCCACTTTTCCTTACTTCCTTTGTGGCGGTGCATTGCTGCTACTGTCGCTGTGGCTGTGGTCTTCCTAACAGGATGATGGACAAATGCAAGTGAAATTTAATGTTATTCTCCATCCATTTAAAGTCAAGGGACAACGCCTTGTCCTTTTGCAAAATAGCATCTTAAAGAATGCAAAGCATTATTCTTAGTTTGCTGTTTTTTGTTACTGAAACATGAGTTAGGACCTCTTTGAGGCAGTCCCAAGGGCACTGTTATTTGGGAATTGAGGTTATTGGGTTGCTCCAAACTTAAATGAAGTGCAATGGACTGCAGGAGTGTTGGTATGTTTGTTATCCCGTTTAAGGAAACCAATTGTGAAAACTTTTCTCCGTGCTATAATTAAAGTTTTTAACTTCTTCCCTTTGGCTCTTACACTCACTTATTCTTCGTTTAAGTAAAAGTTCTCTCTCTTGGTGTTTTGGAGTGCATGTCATTTGTTTGTCCTGTTTACACAGTAGCTGTGAAACCCTCCCTGAAAGAAGTTAGCGACCTTAAGATGAAGTCATATAGGTCTGAATTAACCGCCTGGCTGGTGTAAGGAGACTTTCAAAGCAGTCATTAGAAGTTTCAACGGCCGTCGTGATTTTTGCGTGGGTGTTTTAAATATTAACTTCTTGAGCAGAATTAACTGCGTTGCCCTTCCCAAGTTCAGGGGGACCTCTCTACAGGAACCGCGCGCGCCTTTCCTTTGCGAGTTCGCGCCTCTTCTCTGGAGGTGCGAGGCCAAACTTAGCAAAGCCGAGTTGCCTTTGCTGGTTGCGGTGCGCAGGCACACGGACAGCGCAGAGGCAGCAGTAGCTCCAGGCAGGTAAGTCAGCCCCACCCGTCTCCTCTTTTTTCCTTCCCTTCCTCCCTTGTTCCCCGGAGCTCGGCGCCCGGGGTTATTGCGCCGCGCAGAGATCCGATCCCCAGGGGAAAGTGAATTCGTGAGCCCCGGGATATGGTTGAGGGATCTGGGTGCCCTCCGCACCTCCGAGGACTTCTCGGAGCCAGAAGACTGGTACCGACCAGGTGTAGAGCTCAGCACTTAAACCCACTGCGGTGCTCTCCGCCTAGCTCTTTGCTAGGAATAGCCCGCGCCCTAGACCTGAGACGAAATCCTTAGTCAATACCCCCGCCCCCAGGGCCACGTGTCGACCGGTGCACCGTCTGAAGTGCGGCACTGAGACCCTAACTTTTAGTTTCTTTCCTTCAGGATCAGGGTTGCGTCCCGCTCCCGGTTCTGCCTTAACAATTTACTTTGGCACTAGTTTATTAGTTAAAAACTAAAGAAGGTTCCTGCCGCTCCTTTTCAGAAGGTTTGAAAGGGTTGGGTATTAGGGCCTTGGACGACAAAGACCTTGATGTTGTCGTCTTTTCCTTCTTGCTTCCCGCCAGCGGCCTGCATCTGGTCTTCGGGATCAGTCTTGTCTCTCAGAGCTCTGGGTACGGAGTTATTTTAAAGGGCCAACGCGCTGATATTTAGAAAACTAAACCTGTTTTCGCACTTGGAGGTACCCAGTCATGCCGCAGTGTTTTGGTTCCTGAGGTTTCACCTCTTTTGGTGGCCCTTTCCTGAGGAATTGGGCTTTGGGACCAACCCCCTGCTTTGCAGACTAACCGACAGGTCATTCGATTTTGACCTCTTTAGGCTTGGAAGAGTTTGTTTTTTTTTTTTTTTCC